TTTGGCGTAATGGCCTCATCTGACATTGTTAACGAATATTATGGTATGCTTATATCATTCACCTCTAAGTACCCTTCTCTTTCGATCCCTCAATACGATCTCCAAGTGTGTCGTGCCACACTCCACGCTTGACCCTGATAGTGAACTTTGCGGGTCTGTGTGGGCATCATCTTATTCTGGGATCAGCAGTAGGGTTATCATTGTCTTCCGGTTATGAAACTAGGCGGAGCATCGCAGACAATTATTGACGTGAACGCTTGGCAGTCAATGACGAGAAATAGAAAAGCATTCTTTGAAGAGTTTCACCAGCTTTTTCATCGTGTTCGCATGTCTGCGATGCTCCTCTCGTTAGCTAAGAGATGATTTTATAGAGGGGGGGGGGAAGGGATTGTACTGATGTTGTATGTAAGACGTTATTTTCGTTCGTAGATGCGTATTGCATGGACTACGAAACACTATTTGAAGGAAACCTTTGGGGAATGTTTGCGCCCACAATCAGTCAATCTAGAAAAACTTGCTTATGGCAACTTGACGAAACATAATATTTTCAGGCGTTCCAGAAGATCTCGTCGACCATTTTTCTGTTGCAGAGAATCTGCTAGACTTCCAAAATACCGTTAAAGATATCGCCATGATCTTTGACAAAGTAAGAAAGTGTTCGGATATTTTTTCTATAGTTGCTTTCACGGGTTTAGGAAAAGCGCGAGATAAAGCTTTGTTCGTTTGGAACGATTTCGCTCAAAAAGGCAGTTGTTCTTAGCGAAATGTATTTCAGGGTAAGTAACACTTGTCTCTAGTGAAAATCACAAGCTCATCAGTGGAAGTAATCTATTTAGGACGTACGCTTGAGGAACCAGCTACGCGCTCGAGCTGAAGAGGCCGAACGCATGCTGCAGCATGGTGGTCAACGTAATGATCGAGATTCTCCATATGTGGATGAGTTTGAGTGCGTCAGCCATTGAACTCTTTTTTCTTTTACTTTTTTGTTTGAAATGGGTGCTGAGTTGAAGGGTTGCTGCTGATCTGATGGGACTTGCCATTGGTACTCACGGATCAAACATACAGAGAGCCAGAAATGTCGAAGATGTAGACGACATTCAAGTGTTCGAAGGTGGCGGCGATGGGCAGCCATGCATCATAAAGGTAT